TTTACGGAAGGTAGAAAGATTTGGCGGATTTGACGTTTTATACAGCATATAGGATGATTTATAGGCGTATTTTTGACGGTCGTATCTTAATTGATGGCCACTTCTTCGATGATCCCCTTCATCGAGCGTGTGTAAACACGAACGATTGTAGAAGAAAATTTGCACCTTACGTGCAAATAATGCAGTCCAGTGATAAGCTGCCAAGTGTTTTAGCGGGAGAGGGAGGGAGTCGCGTTGCGAGATTCTTCGGCCGATTTTCGTAACGCTTTGCCCTCGTTCCTCGAACGATTCGCCTATTCAGGATTATGGCAAGCGAGCATTTGCTCGAGTTTACTTTTTTTTTTTTTTTATTGCTTCGATTGATTTAAAAAGAATACCTCACCCACCAATTCCATCCTACGAATTTTATCCTACGATGAGGACATCATCGCGATCGCTAAATTTCGTATCGATAAAAGAAAAATAGCAATTTCGCAAGAAAGAAGGCGATAAGAAAGAGAAGGGAGGGGGAGGGGAGAGTATAACGTATAACAGAGAACGAAGTTGGAGGCCTTGTAAAAAAGTAAACAGGCCGTGAAACGGCGTGCAAGTGGTTGAAATTAATTCTCGCTCGTTTTCTTTTCCTCGATTCTAATTACTTATCCGAGTAATTTCGCAAAAGGAAAAAAAAAAGAAAAAAAAAAGGAATTCTTTTCCCCGCCCGTTAGATTTCGCGAAAAGCTTCCGGTTCGCGGTGTAAAATGAAAGGGAAACGCGAGCGCGTGGTCGCCTTTGTGCCATTTGCTGCTTTCAGTTCGCGCGGAGAGGGGAATAAAACAACAGCTAGCTAGCTAGCTAGCTAGCTAGCGGATCCTCTGCATTTTTTATATCCGTTGCCAGCTGGTAATTCCACGCTTTCCATGTATCCGGTTAAAAACTGGAAACGCCTGTTAAATCGTGGGACATTTATTGCCCCTGAAAACCGTGCTTTCACGCGTTAATGAAACGAACGATCGTGGATACGCGGCGTTCCCGATTCACGGCCTTGTATTTAAAAAAAAAAAAAAAAAAAAAACCGTGCTTTCTAATTCAACGCCGCGATCACCATCGAGTTCAACGCATACCGCGTTAAACAAATTTTACTTGTCACGCGTTGCACGCTGGATTATCATACAGTGTAGCCGAGAACCTGTAATTTCGCAATGTTTTATTTGCTCTCCTTATTTGCCAGCCGGATGTCGCCGATTCTGGCCAATTATTTCGGCGACAAGGCACGATTTTTATTTTCCACGAGTGCAGTTTTCTTCTTGATCGAAGAATCATCGTATAATGTAAATCGGCCATCTCTTTTATTAATTGTCTCGCGTCAATATCTTATCTTAGTTAAATTGTATCTATAGACGATCGATCCTCGTTCAACAACGATTTATAAATAAGGAAAAATTGATGGAGAAGATCGTAGAGCGAGAAAGAGATTTTATTGCTCTCGTCGTAATAACGGGATAAATCGTTTCTTAACGAAAAGGAGCGAAAAGGAGGATATCGTGTACCTTGGAGGAGGAAAGTATTTTACGTCTGTTTTTAATTAGCATACAAAAAAAAAGAAAAAAATCGTCTTAGTTAATAGAATTAGTAAGGTAGGCAACCCTGGAAGCCGTGTAATTCTGTTAATGCGTTTTACACACGCGTTTCAACCTTTTAAATTTCACGCTTCGTTGTCCTATACATGCAAAAGTTAATGCGCACTTCACGTTATCCCCCGTTATATACTTTGCCTCGTCTTCTCGTCGAGGAATTCGATCGAGCATAAAGCTTGATATATATATATATATTTACACAGAATTTTGCAGAAGCGCGTTCATCAGAAAGTCCCATATTTTCTATAAAAAGAGCTTGCCCTTATCGAATCGTAAATAGTGGACGGAGCGAGTGTCGATCCGTCATACGACAATGCGACGACGTATCGGAATGTAATACAATAAACCGACAATGGACGCGAAACGTCCCCCTCTCTTATCTTACGCAGAAGTCGCGCATAAAATATTCCCAGTACCCTTTTTTTATTATCAATATCTAGAAACAACGTCGTTCGATCTCCTCGTCTGTGCTCGAGGACGCGATATCTTCGCCTCGAACTAACGTAAGCTATACCGAGTAATTCCATCTGCGATATCCGGCATGCGAATAGTGATAATTGATAGTCGTTTGGTTACACTAATAAGACTTGCTCGAAATAAAGCCTCGTAAAATCTTCCACGAATTAAAGATCCACGAGTTAGTTTCGTAATCATTCGTTTCTTCAAAAGAAACTCTTCGCCCTCGTCTCACCTCCTCTTCTCAATCTTGTGTTCGATCAACACAAGGGTTCTTCGGTGAATTGCCAAAGAATCGAACGACGATTATTGGAAAGGTCGTTGATCGAAAGCAGGGTTTGATCAGGGAAAGGGACATAATAGGAAGGAAATAATAGATTAGAAAATATGCGCGAATGATTCTCGCCGGCTTGTTTACTCCGTGGTGGATAATATTGGCGGCGCCAACGGGCCGATGTTTTCTCAGCTGGACCAGCAGCACGGTGCATTCACACCGTGCCGCACCAGAAGCGCATCGCCCTTTCCCTCCCGTGTCGCCTCGGCCTCCACGTACCTTCCACGACCTCAGCCTTTTTTTTATTCCCTTCCCCCCTCCTATGCTTTTGCGAAGGTCTTCCTCGAGGTTCGAACGGTGCGCCCTCCGTTCCCGCCTCTCTTTGATCGCGCGATGAAAATTTCGCTTCGCCTCGCTTCGAAATTGCGACCCTCTGAACCGTGCCGCTGCTCCTCTCTCTCTCTCTCTCTGTTCGAGGATTACTTTTCTATCATTTTTCGTTGCTCGTATCGTTCACGAAAAGAGGAACATATATTCTTGTGTCCTGTCTTCTCCTCGCGATCGATCGAGGCCGGATTACGCGACCGGTCGTCGATCCTTCAATCGCGCGCGAGTTTTCAATTCAAGATTCGTGGTTTCTCTCCTCGATTTATTCGAATCGGCTAATTATTAACTCGGAGAAAACTCGAGCCTGGCTACACTAACAGGATTCCAGCTAGCGGATTATCGACTGTTCAACGACGACGCGATTAGAAGCGGTATAAAGCAA